CTCACTTACCAGTCGCAAGGTAGTACAATCCAAAGGCAATTATCAACAGCAGCGCAATCGCCTTGCCACACGAAAATATCACTGCTAGTCGCGCCGCCCACTTCACCTTGTAGCAGTTTATTGCGCATATCAACACTAAAGAAATGCCTCACCACTCCATCATCACACTCACTTAAACCACACAGCGCAATCATGCTCACAACAGGTCCGGGGATTGCACAGTCCGGGTACACAGGCTGCAGCATATACTCCGCAAACACAATCGAGTTGGCAGCACAGCTTACTCCTCCAATCACCACAAACGTGATCCACATCACGATGAACGCGGGCAGACCACCAAAGGCCTCCAGGATGTATGCGTACTCGCCTCCCGACTTCTGGATTCGCACACCCAACTCCGCATACACCAGTGCACCAAGTATGCTGAACAGACCCGGTACTATCCACATGACCAGGGATAGGCCTACAGAGTTGGAGTATCGGAGAACGCCGACTGGTGACACGAAGATGCCAGACCCGACAATAACACCGAATATGATGCTGACGGCCTGTATTACGCCGATCTCCTTCTTCATCTGCACTGCGGTTCTTTTGCCCCCATCAGCGGGATTATTTAGCTCAATATCGTCAGAGACGCCACCCATCGCAAATTCCAACTAATTTCCGTGTGGCGCACTGGTGGAATTTATGTTTGCTCTTCTTTTATACCATTAGTCTAGTAAGATTAAACAATTCAAGGTGTTTGTCATAGCTTTTATAACAAATTTTTAGTTATTCACTCTAAATACTGTGCTTATTTCGCAGTATAAGCTTTATATTCGTATAATTTTTTATAACGTACTTTATTGCATACGTTTTAAACTTAAATCATATCTTGGTAAATTTTAAAACTTTCTGCTTTTACTTTAAAAATTTTTTTGGCACAGTGTTATCATAGCATATTTTTGCACAGTAGTAAATTTTTTATCATATCGATTCCATGGTACACATGTGGACTTTGGTTTCTAGGGCTTCGTATCGCCTCGAGTCTTCTTACTTGGTAAAAAGGCATTATTTTGGGCTGAATACATGTATTTTTAGGAGGAAAGTGTAAAATTTGCCTGTCTTCCTTTCACGCCCTCGAACCTCACAATTTAAGACGGGGTCAGCTGCAATAGCCCTAGTAGTTATTGCGTACAGAAAGAATGGGGAGAGTAGGTATATATGAGGCCGATGGCATATATAATCCGGAGAGGAAATCATCTCGATCCGGATTTGCGCCCAAACTGACTTTCCGCCTCTCCCCTACAAAGGCAAACTTAAGCACTCTAATATACACTATACAGCTCCCATTCTCTTTCAAGCATTGTCTCCGGTGCTGGTCAGTAGAATTCCGAAATATGGCTTTTCCTCATCTGCCAACATATATACTTCGTCTTCGTGGCTTATTGGAAGCAGGCCCGTGTATGGCCTAATCTTGTTATGATGTACTGTTATAGGCTGAGTAGCGATCTTCGCATTCCAAATGAGATTATACGTGGGCGACAGGACTTCTATTATTCGGCGGGGTTACTTGGTCTAGGGATGGTGAATTTCTGATGGGTTTCTGGTGGGGGAATTGGTCCATACAATTGCATTAAGTCTTTCTCATTAAGGACGTTTTTTTAGCTCTGTCTATCATAGGACCTCTTTTGTCCAACATATGCTTACTTCAGATGTCCATGTGCAACGTTAAACCCTTCCTTGAGGTCTTCCCTTGGTCGCAAGCATACTGAGGCGCGTTATCCACTGACGGTTTCTTATGAGGAAGCGAAATGTCGGGACTCTTGAATGGTGAGACTCCAGTCGAGTTGTGAGTGGCGGCTCGGTAGAAGAGGAGA